AGAGGGAGGGAGAAGTGATGGATGGATAGATAGATAGATAGATAGATAGATAGATAGATAGATAGATAGATAGATAGATAGATAGATAGATAGATAGATAGATAGATAGATAGATAGATAGATAGATAGATAGATAGATAGACGGACGGACGGACGGACGGACGGACGGGATAGAGGGAGGGAGGGATGTAAAGATATAAGATTATAAAAGTAGATAAGATTATAAAATCTGATAGATGGACAGATAAGAGAGAGAAAAGAAGGCATAGAGGGATAGATGGATAGACACAGAGAGAGAAGATTATAAAATTAGATAATTATAAAATCTGATGGACAGAAGGGATGGATGGATGGATGGACAGATAAATAGATAAACTCTTAAAGCTGGTGGGAAAAAATTGCCAGATGAAAAGGACAGAAAGGTGGTATTGATTGGGCGATGGGGGTGGTCATATCTCTCCCACCCCCCATGTTCTTTGACCTTAAAGCTAAGCCCTAGAGAGAATACATTTTCCCCCTTTCCTTTCCACCCCTCCCTCTGCTTTTACTGTTTTACAGTTAATGGCTCCTTCGATTTTTGCCCCCTCCTCCCCGATTGTGTCCAGATATTGAACGAGGAGAGACAAGGTGCCTGGTGTGAGCGCACGCGGATGAAAAGAGCCCGTAGGAATTTTTGAAATTCGTGCGCCTGATTATAATGGGGAGGTGACTGGGGAGAACACACCGAAAAACCCGCTTGCTAGCAATTGTCAACAGAGCGAGGCACGACCCCTGGCTTGAGCAACTCCGCAATCCGCCGGCTAGACTACAGCACCAGGCTGCTTGCGGGACCACCCTTGGAGACAGGTCGGAAAGAATGATTTGTTCAGAATCTAGGCACTCTCAAGCACGTTTTGCGAACACACGGAGGGGAAGATTTCCAGGCCATGTGGGTATCTCGTGTTTTAAATTCTAAGCCTGCTCCCTGCAAGTTTCTTTAGAGGGAAAAATTGAAGAGACACATCTAATTTGTATGCCACATCCTTCTTAAACGATGCAGAAATCTCCATCGATGTCTCTCTTCGGCACACAAACACACATCCACACCACCAGACAACACCGCCCCCCCCGAGACCACGTCATCTCTAGTAACACAAACAAACTATGATGCCCATAACCAGAACTAACACCAGATGATGGTTTACAAACAAAAAGAGCTTGAACCAAGAGAGAAAGAGATCAATGGATGAAAAGCTGAAACCGTCCCTCGCTCTTTGCAAACCTGACCATCATCATATTCATCATCATCATATTCAAACTCCAGAGCTGGAAAGAGCCCTACCTCACCACTACCATGCAAACCCATGAAAAGGCCTCATCAAGAAACGAGAAAATCGAGCAACCATTTCCAGTTTATGATTCAAACCCATGAAAAGGCCTCATCAAGAAACAAGAAAATCAAGCAACCATTTCCAATTTCTGATTAATGAATGAATGAATGAATCAGATTTACAGCCTGCTTCCCCACCACACTCCCCAAGAAGCTGGATGCAGGACGGGTGACCGCATGCTTCAAGAACAGACATTATAATAAGTATGAACACATAACTGGAATCCGTTTTTGTGCTAAAAACATGAGTTCTATACCTTTTGAAATCTCGGGAGTTCAAACCATCGTGCAGAATAATGAATTCTTTGTTAACTATTCAGGGTTGTTGTTTTTAAATTGGTGGTCAAGGGACAGGACTAGCAGAAGTGCAATTTTTTGAGTGGGGGATAACCTCACCAGGTTGTTGTGATGACAGAGCTCAGACGAACTCCACATATGCTCCTTTTTGCTCACTTCTTATCTTCCATCTGCTATGGCATTTGCCTATTAGAGAACACCAGAGCGGAAATGTGATTAATTCTACAAAATCCTTTTTTCTGTAGGATGCTGGAACTCCCTGCCACAAGATCGCTGGAGGAAGAAGCTGAAATTTAGGCTGGGAATTATGGCCACAACAATGTGAAGATCTTAAACCAAATGGACTGCTGCTCAGGAGACATACACACACACCCCAAATATTCCTGAAATACTGACCCTGTCCGGATAAGAACTCGGACCCTATTGTGATTGTGCGAAGAGGTTTTAAAATTGGATTTCTCCCCGGCTCAAAACTGGGCAACCAACACTCTTTGCTTGGCCCAAATCTCCTGCTTGTTTCCGCTCCTTACAAAACAGAAGGAGAATGTCTTCTACGACATTGCGTCCTTAATTGTCAACAAGACACCCGTTTATTCGGGATTTAATGGTGATAAATATTTTGCCCGCCAGAGCCTCCCGTTTTCTCTCAGCAGCGCAAAAGGCTGGACATCAATTCGCCGTGAACAAAATGACAGATCCTGCCGGGCGCCATCTGTAACGGGAACAGAACAATGTGCTGTTCTCCCTTTGATGCCGTACCAAGTGATTCGAACTCGTGTTCTCCTGCCCAGATTTTATAGCAGCCCATTTTTAAAAATAAACCCGCTAAGGAGAGAAATCTCTTATCATTCAGAGGCTCCAAAAGTCCTCTTTCGTGGGCCATTGTGTTAAAAGCAAAATTACAATAAGACCCACTTACTTCAGCAAACTGGGATTCAAAGCTGAAAGACTGCAATTAAAATATGGGATTTCTGCTTGGTTCAAAAACAGGGCTTGATCCTCGCTCTGCAGGGGCGGAGCAAGATTTCCAAGGAATCCTCTGTAAATTGGCTGCCGAGCCCGGGGTCAGGAGTTCGAATCTCCCACTGGGCTTCTTTGACAGGGGCTGAACTTGATGATCTATAGAGTCCTGTCCCAGTTTTGCAGTTCTAACATTATTTG